CAGTGTGTCTCCATGCAGGCATAAAGAGTCTCTGTGTCGAATACAATCACAACTTTGCTAATTGGGACCAATTTCTTGGTGGTTTCTCCCATTAACTCTAAGATAAAGATGCCGTCTATGAAAAAGGCAGGAGAACAAACTGAAACTTTCAGTTCGTTTAAATCGCCAAAGAAGTTAAATGGAACATCCCAAGGAGCTGCGTTTCCATTGGCTACGTAAGTGCGCAATTTGAAATTTCGCAAATAAAATTGCGTAATGGAAATACTCAAATTTAAATGTTTTGGTACTAGGAAGAGATGGGTTTTTTTTGGTGTATCAAAATTGGTTTATTTCACGATGGAAACATTTTTTTAGCATCACGTAAGTCACATAATCAACAATTGGACGTTGCTGCTGGCGCAAACCATGAAGAAGACGACGACAGGAAGTAGATGGAGGATTATGGCACAGCGTGTTTTTTAAGTCTCATCGCATGAACAAACTTATTCACACATGGTTTTAATTGCATTTCTTATTTAATAAAAACACCACAATTGCAAAATTGTGGGGGGTGTTTTACATTAACGGAATATTGACAAAGTTTTGCACACATTTGCAATGGAAATGCAGCAAAACATAATTCAGAGTCCAGATTTTAAGGCAAGGCTTGACTCATTTCAATCAAGAGAAACAAAAAAAAATGCATGTTATTCTCACTTTATGCGACAACAAACAAAATGATGCTTTCAAAAATCGACTATTACAAAAGTCACTGCAGATTTGGTTTGATTTTGTAAAATGACAAAATCGTTGATATTAAACGAACATCAGGGCTGTACCACAATACAACTACTTAAAATAGGAGAAATATTTAAATACACTAATCAGGCATTTGTTTGTAAAAACAAATATCAAAAATCTTGAATATAGACAGTCCAATGTACTGTAGAAGCACACCTTGTTGGAAAACAGTCAGTCAAATTTGGACTCTTCTCTGAATAACCGGTGATGTTTACATTCTGGCTGACGTGGTTCAAGGCGAGCAATTCCACTCCGTTGTAGACCAAACCATGACTCTTATCGCTGTCTAAAAGCATTTATTTGGTTCACAGGACAGCACCAGAGGTCAATACATTTGAAAAGAAAATCGCAGTAACTCTAAACGTTAGTCATCCACCTGGTTTTAGCGTTCTCAGCCGACGCCCACAGAGGCATGCCGGAGGCTGCCTGAGCAGTGAGACGTGTGACAATACGGCCTCATGTCTGTCAAACGGCCACAGGCGAGTCCACAGGACGCTCAGAGGCACACAAGCGTCTGCTACAGTTTCAGAAAGCTAATTTCAGATTCACTATGTCATCCGTGTTTCTTTCCCCGATGACACGTGCTAAATTCTGACTGCAGGTCAACCAGATGTCTTTATTTATTGAACATATCAACAAAACAGTGCTGCGTCACTCTTAAATCTGTCAGAGCATCAATCCCTGTGTAACAGAGGGTGTCAAACTCATCTTCGTTTTGGGCCAAATCAGGATCCTGGATGTTCTTAAAGAGCCAGAAAGTATTGAGAAAACCCGTTCCACTGTTAAAATTTGAACAAATGGCTGTCTTTGCAATTTAAGTAGCTCCTACAAATTACACATCTTTTCACATTGTTCAGTCCCTCCTTGATTTTGTGATTTTTTTGTTTAAATCACAAATTTTGTGGAGCTAATTGAGAAATATTTTCAAGAAATTTAGCAATATTTACGTTTATGCGCGACGTTAATTTTGACTTTGCTAACCATCATGTCAATCACACACTAATGACTTGACTTCAAATAAGACCAAGGCAGCAGTGTCGTAAAAGTACAAAACGCTGCCACCTTCAGGTGGGAGTCAGTGGTCGGTTAAAACTCAATGTTTTTGACCACTTTTATGGAAAACTTGCAATTAGGCATTAGTGAGAAAACACGAGGAAATCTGTTGATTTTGACGTGAATTTCCACAACCACAGGAAACTGCGAGGATTGGTTGATATAATTTGGCACCTGGAGTCTTGAGGGCCACACAAAAAGCTTTCCGCGGGCCAGATTTGGCTCCCGGGCCTCGAGTTTGACACATGCGATGCATAATATCTAATAACAATAACCTCAGTTGACATGCAGTTTTGTTTGAAACCCATCCAATGTGGCTGAATTCAAACATTTTTACAGGGCAAAGTGGGTTTCAATAGCTTTTTTTTCTCCATAACAAAAACTAATTTTCAGTGTCTGATATCTCAAATTTTGTTCCAAGATCACAAAGTGAAAGTGCGACTTTCAGTTTAGAGTGAAAGGCAGCAGAAACTAAAATTACACCAGATGGTACAAGACGTCTAGTCGTGTGATCAGATCAGATGGTTTTTACACTCAAAATCGGAACTTTTTAACAGGTCGCGATAACAACACTCTTCAGTGAGGAAGTTGTTAGCAAGAGGTAGAAAACTAGCTATTTGAGAAAGCTAAAAAGTGTTACGTTATTTTTGTAATTAAGAAGCAATGAATTACAGCCCCATTTCTCTGCTTTGTCCAACAGAGCAAGTCCTGTTATCCAAACCAGTAGCCGCTATAATCTGAGATTACGGCTGTTTTCCTTTGACTTTTTAAACCACATTCTGGACTTTGCTGTAGCAACAGCAGGAAATCTGTGACTTCATGTGGGAGTTCTTTTGGTTTTGTTTGTTGTGCCGCCAGTGGTCTTTATTGACAGTAATGAACTACCATAACACCGCAGTACACACACCTGTGATCATCTGACATGTTGTGAAGCTCTAATATGACAGTAATAAAACAGGATGGCATTAGCAACCTACGAGTTTTTAAGAAATAGCTGCATATAATTTTCCCAAGAGAATTATGTATTTATTTTCCCTCTTAGAACGTTTATTTTATGTTTTTATGTTGCCAAGTGTGCATAAATCGAGTTGGCATCAAACGTAGTGAAATTCACTAATTTTCGACTGATTTGCAACAGTTTAAAGTAGCATCGTTTTACTCACACCTGTCATTGAGTTAACCTTCAACCTGCTGAGCTCTAATTGTGTAAACAATTAGAGTCAAATGTTTCATTCCGCTCCAGATTGTCTGACAGTACCACCGACTTTATAAAACTTTATACGCCTAACTCCCCTTCAGCTTTGTACTTTCATGTGTGTGCAAGTTAAACAATGGTTCACAAACAGTTAAAACAATCACAATGCGATTTTATGTGGGGGAAAAATAAAACGCCAGAGGAAGGCATTAATCTTTCCACGCTAAAGTACATAATCGCAGCCTTTTAATCTATAAACCCGGTGGCAAATTAGTTTGGCGGTGTCGCGGTGCAAACCCACCTCCTCTGCGTGTTTTCTCAGCGCTTTCTCCCGCTCGTACTGAGTGACAAGTTGCTCGTTGTCCTCCTTCAGCAGCTCCAGCTCCACGACGTGCTCCTTGTTGGCGGCGAACACCGAGTCCAGGTTCTCCAGCAGCCCGACGACCAGCGGCATCAGGTCCTTCACCACGTCCTCGTCGTACTTCTCGATGAGCCGCTCGAACTCTCGGTATATGGAGCTGGCCAGACCGGCGACCCGCTCGGACATCACGTCCGAGTCGCCCGAGTCGTCCTGGTAGAGGACTACGTCGTCCAGCTCCATGTTTGTTGGATTTTTTTGTTTGTTTGTTTTTTTTAAGCCTCCACTTCTTTCCCAGCTAACGTTATGGAGCTAGCCACAAGCTTGCTGACCGGAGGCAACTCGCTTTTACACTTTAAGCGCAACGATACAAGTGTTCTCCCCCACTATAACATGGCTCCAAAGTTGTTGCCTGCCTAGAGGAGATGTTGTCGGGTCACAAACAAAGTCCCTACCCCGTTTTCGTAGTGACGGCTGACTTAGGAGCCGTGCTAGCCTATTAGCTCGCAGTGTTGAAAAGTCTTTACTTGGCTCCTGATTAGTTTCCCTGTCCAACAGATGAGCTCCCTGCTGCGGCGTTCACGTGCTGTCGGGATATCTGGGAACCCACAAAGCCAAACTATCAACAAAGCAGAGAAAGCGCACAAAATACTAAAGCAACTAATCCAACCATCACGGATACAACTAAAATAATTTTCTATTTTAATGTTCATATATAGCCTGGTGATGCTTAAGTGACGTTTGGAAGGCGGGGAGAAAAGTACGTAAAAAAAAATCAAAGCCGTGGGATCAAGAAGTTCAAGAACTTTTAAAAAATATCAGCTTTATCTCAGTCTTTTTTTGAATATAATCTGCTGATTTTTACATAAAATTTAAGTTGCAGTACAACGATGGTATATATTTTAGAATGGGTGTATTTTTAACTGTATAACTTTCGAGCACTGCTGTTTACGTTGTCTTTGTTTTGAAATAGGGATTTCCCAGCATCTCTTGAACATATATGTTGGTGACTGAACTGTCATGACGTCACGTGCTGAAGTGCGTTTGTTTGTAATACCTTGTGGGGACGATTTTCCTGACATATACTACGTTGTGGGGACCAATTGCTCCTTGTGGGGACCGGAGGGTGGTCCCCACAAGGGGAAACCCTGTTTTTGGGTCAGGGGTCAGAGTTAGGGCTAAGGTATGAATTGAGTTTTGGTTAGGGTTAGGTATGTGATGGTTAGGGTTAGGAAAAAGGTAACGGTAAGGTTTAGGCTGTAGAAATCAATGGAAAGTCCCCACAAAGATAGCAACACAAACATGTGTGCACAGGGTGGGTTATTTTTTTTATTCCAGAAAATGTCGAAATTAGCCTCCCTAAATAATTACAGTGAGCTGCAAGAGTATTAAACCTCATGAGCTTTTCTTTATATATATATATATATATATATATATATATATATATATATATAATTATACTTTTTAAATAAAAAAAATAAGTCTGAATAAGTATGAAGTATATTTGCATTCACCCCTACTCTCAGCACTGTGCAGCCTCTATACATTTCTTTTTTCTTTTTTTCTTTCAAGACTCATGGAGTGAGACCGAAAACAAGCAAAGATGTGTGTGTGTGTGTGTGTGTACTTCACAAATGCTTTTATTTGCTTTCAGTTTTCAAATGCATTCCTAAGAGGGTATGAAAATTTTTATTGAAAAATAATGACAACATCCATAGCAAGCAGGTAAATTCCCCCCAAAAAAGAAAAAAAGCACAATCTTTCAACTTTTTACTTTCAGGCATGTTTGAGTTTAACACAACTGCAGTTCTGAACTTTACTTAGTGTGTTTGGGTTTCATTTTTTTTATAATGCATAGGCACTGTTCACCCTGATGTTTAAAACATTAAAACAATAATAAAATCACAAGACATTCCTATCTACAGTTCACAAACAACAATATGAATACCCACATTTTTTTTCACCGCACCATCCAATCAGAAAGCTCCAAAGTTGCCCTTGGCAACAAGTCAATCTTCATCTTAGCCATTCAAACGACACAATCAAAAACACTGACATTACAGTTGAAATGCTCCACTGTCACACTGAATATACAACATTCAAATATGATATATATAGTCGCTCATGGAGCAACTTCAAATAAAGCAAAAAAAAAAAAAGAAAAAAAAATTCTTGCATTAAATAATTTAAAAAAGTGCATGACTCTGTGCTTCTATGGGTTTTCCTTTTTACAAATCAGGCAAAGTTCCGCAGATTCAAATCTCCCATCAAAATCATAATCCAATGATTGAACAATTTAGAAGCTCAATAAAACAGCAACTTGACCAAAAGATATTAATTAGTAGCTGGGGATCGCAGGTTGGGAAGTAGTGGGAACCTGGATCGGATGTAAACACGCGAGTAAAAGTCGTCTTGGAGCGTGGACGTGAAGAGGGTAACCCCCCCAGCAACCCCCCGCCCCTTTTTTTTAATTATTATTATTATATATATTTTTAGTGCACCTCACATAGAAATGTGTGGATTGTTGCTTAGCGATGACGGGCAGAGGAAGGGGCCGTCGCTGCACAGGCTGTTCAGGGCTCGGAGCACGGCGTCGGGCATGTGATCCACCAGCATCCTGGGGCTGATCAAGATGCTCCGGAACGCCGTTTCGCTGGACCAGTCGGCACGGTACCGAACCTGGGAGAAGCAGGATCTGTGGAAACAAAAACAATAGAAAAGCTGGAGCTTCTTTTCTTTTCTTTTTTTAAGTTGTGCTGTGACGCAGGAACAAGAAGTGTTCATATGACTGTCAGCATCTCTAATCATCCGAGGCTGGAAGCTCCTCTGGAGACAACAAAGAAGCAAAAGACAAACTGAGGCTTTGATAAGCAAACATTTGGACAAAGCGGAGCATTCAATATACGGGGCTTCTGTGGGTTTCACCAAATAAAATGTAAGACTTTTTAGGACAACTATGAATGAAATGTAAGCCCTTTATCTCCACGGAAATGTACGAACTTCGTCCAGCCACGTGGCCATAAATTTCCACTTACCCACGATAGACGTAAAAAAGCTAGCTAGCTTGGAAGGGAATATTAGCAGCTATTTCCTGTTAGCCTCAGAACGCAAAGGAGGTGTCTCAAACTTTTGCCTGTCAGAAAATCCTGCGAGAAAATTAAGTAGTCCAAGGCAAAATTTAAGATATTTGATTAACGTATTTTTTATATAAATTTAAGACATTTTAAGGTCTTAATTTTAGACAGATGAATTTGCAACTTTTTAACGATGCGAGGCACCCTGGTGTAACCCGAAGCAGCCGTGTCATTCTGACTATTTTTTAAATAGTTTTAGTAAAAAGACAAAAAGAGATAAAAGTTTTAGAGGAATATAAACAATATCCTAGCTTAAAAAATAGCACTGTCAAACTTTACAGAATTAAAATTTTCTCTGTGATAAAACCATGCTGTGTCTTGTTGAAGCATTCCCACCATTATTACCATTATGTTTCATTAAAAAAAATTTTTTTTAAACTTTTATGTATTTTGTGGGAAAGTTTTATGAGTTAGACCAAAATAAAGTACATCATAATCGTTAACTGGTCGAAAAACTGTGCATATTTGCACAACCAGAGGGAGTAATTACTTTTTGAACTCATTCACTAACCAGAATTGAGATGCAACGCCAGAGAGGTTATTGACAATTCGAGTTATGCTTCCTGAATGAAGACCACAGTGCATTTCAACCACATTAGCTTGTGTTATCTGAAGTTCAAGCACCGAAAGCAGTTCAAATTAAATTAGCCGGAGCAGATTTCATTAAGAGGAAAGATGGAACAAAGGTGTCAGCTGAGAAGGAAATGATGTCATTTGAGGTGTCAGCTGATGTGTACAGTAAGTCCTGATATGTGAGTGTATCAAAATATAAACAGTAGAACTACTGTAGTTTAAGATGAATTTAAATTCTTGGTGCCATGACTTGAGCGTTTAGCAGGGTATTATATCACATTTCAAAATAATAAGTATTCATACCCACTGGACTTTTTTTTTTTTTTTACATTCTGTCTAATCAACACCACAAACCTCTGTGTCTTTTATTGGCCTTCTCTGGCAGATTGACACAGAGTGCTGCAAAATACCATAATGAACACTAGGGATGAAATGACTCATCTGATTAATCGCGATTAATCGATTATTGAAACAATGGTCAACTAATTTAGTACTCAATTAATTGTTAATTTCCATATATGGTTTCAAAAAAAGGCGTTTTGCTAATCAACACCACCACATTGTCAGAGCAGTAATTAAGCCAAAACTGTCCAAAAAGTATATACAGTTTGCATTTATGGTAGAAAAATTAAACTTTCTTTGTAAATGTTTTATATCTACAATTCCTCAGGTAGCATACTTAAAGCATAGTCAAATTACTAAAAGAAAATCATGTTAAGCATCTTTTGCTGTCTAATTCTTAATAACTACTACTACACAATATTGACGAGTCAAGCAGAGCTTTTAACAATTTGATGTTAAAAGTATTTTCACAGCTGCAGATGAATCCTTTGCTACAAATGATCAAATGTTCACTACAGGGAAGCTGTTAAAATTGTTATATTCTTACTTAATAAAGGAACTGAATTGTCTCTTTGCATCTTTCAATGTGTTTTTAAAGTTGCACAAAGAAGCTTTAAAGAGAAATCCGCAAAATACGGCAATTTCTTTTAACCCGATTAATCGTCGGAGTAAACGATTAATCAATAACTAAAATAATCGTTAGTCGCAGCATGCAGAAACCAACCTCCGCGACGGCCCGTCCTCCGTGATGTACAGTATGTGCCCCGGCGGGTAGAGCGGCATGTGCACGACTGGGTGGGCGGGAGAGTCGTCCGATGCCAGGCTCTGATAGGACGACGAGTGGCGGATCACCAGCGACTCTTCGCCCAGCAGCGGCTGGCTGAGCTGCTCCTCCCTCCTGCTGTCCATCTCGGTGGGGAAATCGTCCGGGTCCCCTCCGAACAGCTCGTACCAACACCCCTGCAGCAGGATGCGGTACTGCAACACACAGACAGCGGCTTCAGACATGGCCAGATTGGATTCGGGGCACAGAAACGTGCGACTCCAACGCTCACTAGACTCACTTTGGGCTTATTGCAGTTTGTGACTATTTTCAGTATCCGACTCTTCAGGTCCTCCATGTTGGGGATGCTCAGTCTGTGGAACAGGAAAAGCTTTTGGTTTCCGACATGAAGTCCAGCAGAACACAACAGCAGACAGTACAAGGTTTGTACACGTTTCCCACAGCAAAGTTCAAGAGCACTTCAGAAGCATTCTCAAAGTAAGTTTTCAAACTTTTCCACACTTTGGAGATTAAAAATAAAATACAAAAGAACCAAAAAAAAAGGCAGTTTCAATTCACTCTTATTTATTACAGTTTTTGATCATGTTTTGTGCTAATATTCTGTAGGGATAAGGGAAATATAGCAAAATGTTATTTTTCAAAAATTTTCTTTCTCACAGGCATGAGAACAAAACACTAATTTAACCAAAACTTAAAGTGTAAAATATAAACTACACAGATCAATAATATCTGAGCCATTAGGAATAATAAATAGGTATAATGTTGGAACAATGCAAACAAATCGTGTTAAGGTAAATTACCTTCCTGCTCAAGTTAAATCCAAAGTTACAAGTTCTTGTTAAGTTTTCTGGCATTTAGTGAGTAGAAATAATTTTAGTTATTCTAAATAACCTAAAACTAGATTTAACTTCAGACTGAGGGGGAAAAAATGTGTGTGTTATTTTACTAAGTGTATGAAAATATCTGGTTTCAACTGTAAATCACGTTTTCCAAATTTAGGTTTTTAATCAAATGCCAGATTGCACTTTATAACAAAACTGTGCACTTTGAATATCAAGCACTTTCCAGGACTTTATGCAGAAACCAAGCCTTGAAAACACCTAAATGAAATTAAAGCATTGTCAAGGATTTCAAGCACCTGTAAGAACCATGGCAACAGGCATTTCTTACCTGGGAACCAGATCCTTCCCCAACACCACAGACACCACAAAGTCCTTGGAGTATTCAGCTAAGGGTTGACTGAACACAGAAAATAAAACATATGTAAGTAAGAACATCTATATGAACAATAATCAAAGTTTTTTTCCCCCAAAAGTTAAAGAAAGTGAAAAATAAAGGCGGAAACTGAGTAAGCTGTGAAGTTGTGCTTTACCTCAGCAGGCCCCCTGGTGGTGAGAATGAGTAACACTTCAGGGTGGGGAAGGAAGTGCGCAGCAGGATGGCCAGCAGGGCGGCTGTGCCGGCCCCCAGACTGTGACCAGTGACCACCAGTTTATACTCCTACCATTACAGTGACACACAAACACACCGTTTACACAAATCCGTCCAGTTTGACAAACAGATGCTCAAGTTTTTTGGCCTTAGTATAAATTCACCTTTCAAGGCAATAGCACAGTCTTATAAAAATGAGTTAGGAAAAAGGGGGGAAATATATGTTTGTTTGTTTTTTTTTTTTTTTTGTAAAAACAAGCAATGAAAATGTAGAGAAACACTTATGTTAAGTAAGTGGGAGGACCTGTGATGCTGTGGGCTGCACAGCTAAAGGAATGGGAATATATGGACTGTTTTTGGTTCATGTTAAAATATATATATATATATTTAAGTTTTTACTGAGACGCCTATGAAAAAAATCTGATTTATCCCCTCCCCCCACTCCCCCACCCTCCTCAGTTGATTTGGCCATTTTGGATCATTATCCTGCAAAAAAGTAGCCATGACGACCCGTTTTCAGATGCAGTCCCAATATAACTCAAAGTCTCCTCGTATTTTTTTTCATGTTTCCAGGGTTTTTGGAAGATAAACTGTCCCACATCACCACAGGTCATACACTCTACTGAACATATTTGGAAAGTCGGGACAGAATATCGTGTTTTTGTTTTCACTCGTTACCGGGACGACGGAGAAGGCCTGGTTCAGGATGCCATCGTTGACGAGCTTCTTGTAGATGTAGCCCGCCGCCTGGTACATGCCCTGCAGCAGACATGTTTACTTATTCATCATTATTATTTGTTTTTAGAAAAGACTAGTTGTGATTATGCTAAAAGGCTAAAGGTTCAGTTGGAATGTGCCTCACCTTGTGAGCGTAGCAAGGGCCAGACACGCCTTCGACTGGCAGGTTCTCACATTCAGCAGACAGGTCTGTCAGAACATCCTGCAAGGAAAAACAAACATGAAACATAAAAGTATATATTGTTTTTCTTTAAGTCTTTAATTTTTTTTTTTTTGTTGACGACCAAAGTCAAAACAAGATTTAACCTTCTGCATCACCACAAACACCTTTGACATAAACACAACCTAATTATAGGCACACGCAGATTCAGGTCAGGATACAAACGAGTCTCACTTCCCGTTTTCGTCTTTTTTCCTCTTTGTGATTCTAGCGAGTGTTAATATTTCAGAGAGAGAGAGAGAGAGAGAGATGTTTCGGTTTACAGCAGTCCGTCTTTCAGAAAAACAAGGAAGTGATTCTGAAACTGAGGATGGAATATTTGACCTCTGTCCTCGCCAAAACAGCTCAGATGAATATATACAACCGACTCGGCCTTTCACGGTAACAAGTTTTGTTGGACGATAAATTGTCCCAGAAGTTATCGCGATAAACGATAACACTGAAGTTGGTCTATCATGTAACGCCGCGCTAAAACACATAACGTAATGTGTCAAACTGTAAAAGAAAACAAAAAAAAAACCTGCTGTGAGTAGGAAAATCTTTCACAATGTCCGATTTAACTCACCTTTAGTGACAGTGTTCCTCTGACCGCTACGAGTACTACTTCCCACTTGTGATCCAACGCCACAAAAAACGGGATCTCGTAGATCTGTGGGGCACATCGAGTTTGTTCAGAACTTTAACGCCACTGGTCAGGAATGTACGCACTGTAAATAAACAGAACTGTAACCTGGTTGTGGAAGCTGACGTAGATAAAGTCTCTGTACTGCAGTCCGGTGGTTTGCAGGATGGAGGAGAAGTGGCAGCCCAGGTGGTCCCCTCCTACGATGTCGTACTCCGCGGCGCGGGTTCTGCAGCTGCAGTGCGCAGACGCACGTTAGAATTTGGGGTCGGCTCGAGGCGGGGCCGACCCGACACCGACCCTGATGTTCAGAGAGCGCCTCACCAGTCTCTGCTGAGCTTGCAGGGAGCAGTAAAGAGGTTGGAGTAGACGTACAAAGGCCAGCCGTAAGCCGCCGCTGCGAACTGCATATAGTGAGCCGCATTCTCCAGCTCCGTCTGCAGATCCTGGTCCTGCAGAACAGGAAGAGGGGATCAATTTAAAAAGAACGCGTAGGGAGTCGTATTTATGGCTGCAACTGATAATCAATTTATTCTGTCGGTTATTCTGAAGCTTAATCGATTTTCACCAACTGACTGTTTTAGAGTCTGTACACTCCAGTTAACGATTAATCGATAACTAAATTTCTTGACAATTACCTCAATAATCTATTAATCGTGATTAATGTGATTAATCAATTACTAAATTAAGTTTACTATTCTTTTAATACTTGGTTAATCTCAGTTAATCAATAACTAAATTAATTGAGGTTTCTTTCAGTAATTGATTATCCCCAATTAATCTGTTATTAAATTGGTTGACAATTGTTTCAATAATCAATTAATCACGATTAATCAATGACTTAATTAATTGTTGATTACTTGAATAATCAACTAATCCATTTAATTGACTATAAAATCAATTGACAATTATTGATAAGCAATTAATCACAATTAATCTAAATAATTGATTACTAAATTAGTTGATGATTCTTTCAATAATCGATTAATCCAATTAATATATTACTACATTAGTTGACAGTTATTTCAATAATCAATTAATCACGATTAATCAATGACTTAATTAATTGTTGATTACTTGAATAATCAACTAATCCATTTAATTGACTATAAAATCAATTGAC